TGTTGCAAGTGAAGTACAACTCTTACTTAAACTGCTATAGCTGTTTGTCCAGATGACTTTTGCACTTGAGTGAATAGGGGGCAACGGGGCAGCATACAATACTATCGTATGTAACAAGCTCTTACTGCGACGGCGGAGAATCGAGTCACCGTCTTCGTTCGCCATCGGACATCTTGGCACGTGCACGCCACCTAGGTCTTGAACCTCTCGAGATGAGTACTCTACAGTCAGAAGTAGTAGCTATTTCTATACGCCCCCCCCCCCAACCTCAGTATGCTGTCTACTATGTTTCAAGAGGCAAATAACATTTCCACCCTATTTTGTTTCCCATATCAGTGCAAGAATGTAGGCAGGTCGGTGCAAAGTGGGAATCGTCAGTGGCTGCAACTTGTTAGTTTCTACTGTGCACGGTGCAGGAAAAGCGTCACTTCGGGAACGTGGAAGTTCCGGGCGGTAAATGTCACATCGTGACTCCGTGCCATCAGGTGTGAAGAGCCCCTTTCCAAAATGATGTAGACCCTACATTTTGAAACATCTTTGTATAGCACGCTTACATAGGACGCTTGTTATGCAAGGAAAAACCCATGAAGATCAGACGGAATTTACCTAGGAAAATTGCTCATACGTTACATCGAGGGGGGAGGTTTTCCCCAAAGACTGGAGACGGACAATAGCACTGAATTCTAGAAAGTGCAGGAAATGTTAAACTGTTTCTATGACCGATGGAAACACCTGCGTGCCGAGTTTCTGTTCTTTTCGTCGTCAGTTGTAACGCGTTCTATTTACATGTGTGTCAGTCTGCCAAAACAATGAAGAGTCTAAAATAGCAACAGGCTTAAGTAGATCTATCTATAAATGGGTAGGCGTGAAGCCTTCAAGACAACCTCCCAGCTTGTGCATTGCTCACCACACCCAGGCCTGGGAAAAGGAGGTCGCGCAAGTGTCACTGTGCAGTCACTCAGTTGGTAAGACAATACTGTGCGGGTGACTTTGGTGCGAAATCATGCTGTTTCGGAACCAAGTTTTTGGCTAGAGTTTTTTTTAGCTTACAAACTATTCCTTCGCCAAAGAGAGAATTCTGAGGAAGCCTGCAGCTCAAATAACATAATATTACTACTTTATTGAATGAAGGGTTTGAGGGGGAGTAAGTGCGTTAAGGGTTGAGAAAGT